TCTGCCTATACCAGGCGCCTGCAATCGGCCGGGCGGGCCACCGAGCACGACACGCGTGCCGGGCGGGTCTGCCTACCTGGCGCCTGCACTCGGCCGGGCGGGCTACCGGGCACGACACGCGTGCCGGGCGGGTCTGCCTATACCTGGCGCCTGCACTCGGCCGGGCGGGCTACCGAGCACGACACGCGTGCCGAGCGGGTCTGCCTACCTGGCGCCTGCACTCGGCCGGGCGGGCTACCGGGCACGACACGCGTGCCGAGCGGGTCTGCCTGCCTGGCGCCTGCACTCGGCCGGGCGGGCCACCGAGCACGACACGCGTGCCGGGCGGATCTGCCTACCTGGCCCGGCGCCTGACAGTGCCATAGCCTTGCACGTGCCACCATAACGACCGATTCCACCAGAAAATAGAAATTGAGTGGGGTTATTTCTCGTGGAGCACATCAAAAAGACCCTCAGAGCCACGGTGTCGCAATCAGCCGCAGCGGCCATCAAGCTGAGACCACGGCGGCGCGGTGGCGGCCGTGGCGGCGCCCGCCGCGCTGATGGGATGTGTCGCGAGTTACCGCACAGCACCACACATCCCCGTACTGGCATGCGGTACCGCGAGCCTTTTTTCGGGCAAAGTGAAAGGGGGCCCTTTTGCTCGTCCCGTGTGGGGGGTGGGGGACGGACGGACGGCCGCCCTCTCGGCTGCCCTGGACACCGCCCGGGAGAACGTGCACGGCGGCGAGCACGTACGGCGGCGCGGCCCGCGAGGGAGATGGGCAAAACAGGCAACACACACTCACATTCACCGCCGCGACTGTTTTTGGTATTCCTCGCGCGAGGGGAGGAGGAGCAGCAGCAGCAGGGAGGTAAATCCCGCATATATGCGAGGCACACTACTGCAGGCCGAGAAAAGTGGGGAGACGCGGGGAGAAGGAGGAGAGGGTCGGCGTAAGAAAGAAAAATCGGGGAGAGCGCAGAGGAGGGCGCGCGGGGTCCTCAGCAGCAGGCCAGGGCGGCGACAACGGTGGCACGCGCGGCACCCACCGCCCGCCGCCGCGCCCGCGGCACTCTGCATCCAAACTAGATCGCGGCGGTCCCGGCTAACGAGACCCTCTCCTTCTCCTCTTAGTCCCCAGCCCCAGCCGAAGGAGTCGCGGCACTCTCTTCTCCTCCTTGTTCGGGTTCCCATCAGCAGGGCGTTTTAGAGAAACGCCGCCGCCGCCCCAATTTGTCAAATAATCGCAGCCAGCTCGAGGGGCGGCGGCGGGGGCGGCCGGCGGCGGCAGCACCTCCAGCCATGGCCTGCATCGTTTTAGAAACGCGCCGCGCAAGCCAATTTGGCGCCAATAATCGAAGAGCTGGTGCTGGGCGAGACAGTTGCCGAAGCGGAGGCCGCCCTGCCGGGGCCGGGGTGGCCCGCTACACCCGCGCGCGCGCGTTCGCTAATCGCATGGCACTAAGTGGCGCCGGCTCCAGGGAAGTGTGCCGGGCAAACAAAGGGATGAGGCAGGCCGGGGCTGCGCGCCGCGCCGCGCCGCGCCCGCACCGCGGGACAGGAAAAATGGAATTGACTTTCTTTCGCGGAGGAGATTTTCACTCGGCTGGCCGGTCGGCCTCCCTCGGGGGCGGGCGGCTGGTGTGCTGTTGTACCTGGTCAAAGCCAGCACGGCGGCGGCCGCGGCCGAGAGCGAGCAGCAGGCGCCCGCTCACGGAAGTGAAGTGGACCCAGCGCGCGCGCGCGCGGGAAGCGCGCCAAAGCTGCGGTTGTCGCCGCCGGCCGCGACGCCGTGGAGCATGATATAGGAGAGAGAGAGAGAGAGAAACCGTCTCGAAAGTGTGAGTGTGTGTGTAAGAGAGAGAGAGAGAGAGGGCGAGGGAGGGTAGAACAAGGCTGTGTCGCGCCCAATAGTATCGATGGCACCTTCCTATATGTATATGTAGGCATGCCGCGGCCACGCCTCGTCACGACCAAGGAGAGCAGGGCGGCGGTGGAGATAGCATCGGCGGCGGGCGACTCGAACACACGGAGCAGGACGGCGACGGCGGCGTCAAAAATAAAACGTACCTCACCTCGCCCCGCCCCGCGTGCGCGCCACGGGGGGTACCTGAACCTGAGCACTGACCCCACAGGGGGGCGCCGCCGACACCACCACCACCACCACCGCTGACCTGGACGTGGCACGCCGCGCGTCAATGGCCATAGGACGATGACAACAAACAACAGCGACGACGACGACGACCAAGTGTCGCCGTGTTCGCCGGAGAAATCGAGCGCGCGAGTGAGACGGCAAGCACGGCAGCAGCAGGGAGGGGAAGGGGCGCAGGGACGACGGCATAGCAGCGTCCTTCCGCGCGCTGTGGTGGCGATGCGCGCCCGGTGCACTTTGTGGCCCCGACAGCGCGCGACATTTAAACGGTCGACCACACGTGTGTTGCGCGTGCTGGACGCAGACTTCCGGCATGACGGGGTGGAGGGGAGGGGGTTGTACTGTATTCGGTCATAGAGAGAGAGATGAAAGCGCGGAGGCAGGCAGGACCCAGACCACGATGACGCGAGATGGGACCGCGGCGCGGGCAGTGTGCGTTGTGTAGACCCAGACCCCGCCAGTGAAACGGAAGGACGAAAAGTGCGAGACTGTCGGAACGACGCTGCGACCGCGGCTGGAAGCTGTGGTGGTATGGGTGCAGTGCGAGCGGACAGTCGCGACGCAAGCGCCCAGTCAGCAGCGTTGCAGCTGCACAAAGTATGGTAGGATGAGCTAAAGGACGCCGTCGTGTGCTGTGCCCGCAGGGAGCCGCTGTCCTGGTCGCCGCCGCTCCCGGAGCACTGCCTCCCCCAGCCGCACGCTCCACGACCAGGTGAGGAGGACGTCCAGCCGGCGACCGCCGAGGACCACGACGATCACCACGACCACCACGACGAGGACAACGACGGCCCGGCCGGGACGACGCGGCGTCGTCGCGACTGCGGCCAGAACGACAGCGGACCCGGACGACGGAGCGGAGTGGCCAACGATCATCGTTGAACGATGCACTATGACCCGGCTCGCGTCCGGGACGGATGAACGGACGGACGGACAGACAGACGGATGGACGGATGGGCGGACAGGGCGCTGGCTGAGCCACAGGACCTTGGGAGAGGAGTAGGGAGGAGGGGGGCAGGGAAGAGGATCCCATCAGACTATTGCACGCCGCCGAGGAAAGCCGGGCCGCGACTAAACCGCGTATTGCTGCTCTGTCCGAGAGGAAAGAAGGGGGAAGGACGCTTGGGCAGTAAGGTGATGTGTCGGGGGAAATAAGAAATCGAAAGGGAATAACACGACTAAAAGGAATAAAAGGGGGAGAAAAAGAGAGGGGACTCGTGGAAGACGCGAGGGGGGCCGCGCCGAACCCTTCGACATCTCATCCTATCCCCCTCTCTCACCGGCGCGCGCGGTGATTGGCGACGCCAGGGATACTCGGATAAATTGTATAGCAGGGCGCTCGACTCGGCTCGGCTCGGCAGCGCGGCCCTCGGGCGGTAAATCATCGCACAGGGGCCGCGGCGTCGGTGCCATCCGCGAAGAGCAAGAGAGGCGTCGGCAGCGGGCGTCGGCGCCCTCCCCGCGGCCTCCTCGCGGCATTTGGGCGTGATGTGACACGTTCCACAAGTAACGGGGCGACATATGTGTTGCCGATGGTACGTTTCCGCTGTATGGTTTTGGTTTTTAGAGCCCGTCTACCGACGACGGCGGCGGAGTCGAGATACGAGCGCGCCGCGCCGCACGCGGTCGTTCAAATGTGAGGGTAAAGCGACTTTCATTTGGCGCCGTGTGGTTGGTCGGGTTGGTGTGCTCGCCGAGGAGCGGGAGCGGGAGCGGGGG